TATTTTTTTTCCTGCTAAATGCTCCAAAAAAAGAAATTATGGATTAATTTTTAAAAACATATTGAAATTGCTTGTAATCCTTTTTTGATTTGCTTTTCCTTATAAACAAACCAGGTAATCTGAACATCCTTGTACAGTAATTATTTTGGATTAGCAAGAACACACTGTATAAATATACAGAATGAGTCAAAGTCCCTTGCATCATTTTTACTCTAAAACAATTAATTGATATCTTTCAAGACTGATACAAAATATGTAGGTTATACTATTATAAATGATCAGAATAACAATATGCTTAATATTGTTATTTTTCATCTTTTTATACCAGAAATATTAGCATTAACACAATTTATTGATTAATATCTATTACTGAAATTTATTATAATAAATTCAACATTTGAAAACTTTAATCAGAAAGAAAAAATACACATACATTACTTTTATAAAAGGGGTTTGAAAACGTTTGTTTTTTCGAAGTTTTTCGATGTTACCACACCGTAAATTGGTTTCATGGGAGTAATTTCTAATGCAATAAGTCAAGTTTTTGGAGTTATGCATAGTTTGTTCTACAAACTTGTATTTTCTAATTTATTTTTAGTTGTTTTCACCAATTAATACTATAAAATTGTGGAAAAATAACACAAGATAATGGCCATATTTGGAATATACAGTGGGTGATCGGTTAATGAACATAATTCATTCCAAGACTTTGTTCGCTATCTGAATTGTTCATTAACCGATTATCGATTTACCATAGGTTTAAATGGGAATTTAATTAATTCGTTCTGGAGACACCCAAAAATAAAAAAATATATACTTTCTTACTACATTTATTTATATGCAATAATAAAAATATATCCATACACAGTCTTGTGTTTTTATTAATCACGTTTTTCCATTTGAAAGGGTTAAAAAATCTCTCTAATGTCTATTGCTTTTCTCTCTTCAGGATTTTTTGTAAGTAATTGCAATTGTAGAAATCCCCAAGTCTCAACCTGGTTTGGATGACATTCTAAGACCGTTCCTTCCACTTCTTCAAAGGATCTTTAATAACAGATATCAGCATTAATCCTGTTTTTTTATAATAAAACTTATCTCGCCAAGTTTCTTGGTGTTCTTCATTCAAGAGTTCTTGGCGTTCTTCTGTTGTCAGATCCGTTTCAGGTTCCATTAGGAATTCTTCGATGTTCTTTATTTCTCAGATGTGATTTTTGTTACTCCTTTAGTTGCTTGAGTCTTCTTGATTATACAGTATTTTTCTTAAATAAGATTGAACTGTGGACTACTGTAGACCTGTTCACGCCAAACTGCCCAGCAACATTAGGTATCTTCTGCCCACTCTCTACCTTTATTATTATACTCTCACCTTTCGAAAAGAAAAACAGATGCAAAACAATTCCTTTATGTATTCATAAAAGAATTGTTTTGTCAGAAAAATAAAAGGCTGGAATTACAAGGGAGAGTTTCAAAGTTCGGAGGAATACTATCTGATCAGTATATACTGGCTTGAGCGTCGATTTTGACGTCTCCCACACTTCAAAAAGTTTCAAATTGTTGCCCGAAGACAACAATTTGAATCGGTATTCATTATTTTACGTCGCTTCTTCTTGTGTTTGTTCTGTGGGGTGTTCGTTATTCGATCATGTGTTTGTTGTCCGAACATAAAAATCTTTTGCGAAAGTGTTCGTTATCCAATCTGTTCATTAACCGATCACCCACTGTATAGCTATATTTGAATACCTTATTAAAAGTAAAGCCTATGATTACCAAGAAATGCTTAATTGTAGGAGTCTTGACTCTTATAATTATTTTTCAAGTGGTAAAGTAGGTGAAATTTTAATTGATAAGTTGAACATTTGTGTCCTTAAGACAAATGTAGAGCCATCACAAACCCTGTCTGCAAGTAATCATTCTCTTTAATTTTCATTGTGTGGAAATGAATGTAACTGGAATGATTGACTACATGGACAATTTTGATGCATAATGTTTTTGTGTGTATTGCACACAGCTTTAAACCACTTATAAATAACTTTCTGGCTATTATGGCAGCCAACCCCTGCACAATATCTACCTGAACTGGTTTTATGAGGCATGTCACCAATGAAAAACTAAAAATTGCAGATCTACACTAACAACTAACAGTATCTTAATGGCTGCCAAGATATATGCCCTTGTGGCAGAATTCAAAAACATGTTTAAAAACATTTGGATAGTCTGTTGAAACATTTAATATTTTCAATTTTAATGAAAATGCTATATATTTTAATAATGACAATTAAAGTTATTAATTAAAGATGATGCATAATTGTATTTTAAAAGAATGTAAGTTAATCTTTTATCTGTAATAAAGGATTAACTTATTATAATATAAGTTAATTCTTTATCATAATAAATATTAATAATTCAATATATATATTAAGTGAACACTGCCTAACACTAACACAAGTAAGAAATGTGTTAAACTTGATTCATGTTGATAATATGGAGAAGTAAAATTTTTCAGGAATAATTCTGATTTTCATTTTTGATATAATAATTCTGATTAACATATCATAACTTATATTGATAGGAAGAATATTATTTAAAAACATAGGTGTTACAAAAGAAATTTGGTATATTTCCTGTTATTATTAAATGGCAGAACATTAAATTATACAAAACATTTTGTAAAGATTATTTTAATATTGTTTTCAAATTGTTGCAATTCATCTTAGATAAACTTTAAACATGCATATAAATTATATAAATGCTTCTGAAATTAATAAAGTTTAGTTTCTTACATTTTAAGTATAGTCTTATATCCTATATAGCAACAGTTCTTGAATGTCAGCAGTATGGAACATACCTGATCATTCTGAGATTTTGAGTGAAAAGTTTAGCTAGCATCACTATATTCTTTCAAAAATAAAAATATTATATTGAAAGGAATAAACCATATATCAATGTCCGTACAATAAATAAGTTTAATGGTTCCATTAACATGAGTGTTAACACACTATTTGTTCTTCTCATTGCTGTTTTTTTTTTTAAGTGTGACTCTGGAAAGCATGTATAATTAGCCACCCCTACTATGCAGTTTCATCCTACTGTTAAAATTAAGATTATTATTTACAAATGAAAAATAATTTGAGTTTATAAATGTTTTTTTTCTTGTAAAGAATGTTTTTTATTTCATGTATTTACTCTACATTTCAATTTTAAATAAATTTTTTAGATTTATGATTATTCCTATATAGGAATAATCAATAATCATAGGAATAATATATACAGTATATATATATAAATGATTATTTTAAATTTTATTTAGGTTCCTGGAAGATTATTTCCTATTGAAGTCTATTATAGACCAATATTAGTAGAAAACAAATCTTCTAAAACAAGTCGTTTGAATCCAGGTCCATACATTCAGATTTTACAATTGATTGATCATAAATATCCTTCAAATGAAAGAGGTGATGTTCTAATGTTTCTCAGTGGAATGACAGAAATTTCAACAGTGGTTGATGCTGCAGAAATGTATGCAGAACAAAATAAAAAATGGATAATTTTGCCATTACATAGTACTTTATCAATTGATGTACAGGACAAGGTATTGAACACTTTAAATATTTAATAAATTTTCAAAGAAATTTTATTAATTTTTATATGAAATAATGTGATTATTACATATTAAGAAAAACTTTGCAAAATTAATTGTATTAATTATATAAAATTTAATAAATATTAATGATAGATGTATAATGTTGATTTTTTTTATTATTGGCCAGTAGTGAGCAGTAATTTTACATACCTTCCAAAGAAAAAAAAAAATGCTTTAATAGGGAACAAAAGCTGTTAATCTGTATAATTATTTTTAAATTGTTTAATCTCTNACACTTCCTGTCTAACAATAACAACACAATTACACTTTAATGTCCTGTATAATTATTTTTAAATTGTTTAATCTCTTATTATTATAAATAAATTATTGCAGGTATTTGGTATAGCACCTGAAGGTGTAAGAAAATGTATTGTGTCAACAAATATTGCCGAAACATCAGTGACCATTGATGGTGTACGATTTGTTGTCGACTCTGGAAAAGTGAAAGAAATGAGTTATGATCCTAACTGCAGGATGCAGTGCCTTAAAGAATTTTGGATTAGTCGTGCAAGTGCAGAACAAAGAAAAGGACGTGCAGGTTAAAATTTTTTATATTAGGAAATTAGTTGTAATTTAGAAAAAATTTGACTTAAATATAATTTTTAAATATTCTTAGATCTGTAATGAAATGTAACTATGTTTAAATAAATAAAATGAATATGCTTTAGTTAGACTAAATGTAAAGGATGAAAATCTAATTGAAAAAAAAGGATGATCAAGTGATAAATTGAAAGGATTATTGAAAAAGACAGGTGATAAACCAAAATCATATATGTTGTGTGCCCGGTGATTTCTCTGACATGCCACTTTGGGTGCACATGCATAGGTTTGCCACCCCTCATCTATACCAAAATATAGCAATCTGTATTTTGAATATAAGTAAATCTTTATTATTGTTATTTTTATATAATGAAATTAAAATTAGTTCTGTGTACAAATATACTTTTGTACATATTTTTTTTTACATATTTCAGAATAGTAATATAATGATACTATATAAGTATTAATATCTGCAGTTGCAGATTATTTTAAAAAAATTAATAATTATATAACTTTTCAAATTATAAAAAAATTTATATATTAATTAATTATTTTCTAAATGTTTATGTTAGGGAGAACTGGTCCTGGAGTTTGCTTTCGTTTATACTCAGAGAAAGAATATGATGCAATGGATGCATATTCTTCTCCAGAAATTCAGAGAGTTCCTTTGGATTCACTGTTGTTGCAAATGATATCCATTGGATTACCAGATGCTCGCAAATTTCCTTTTTTGGAAGCTCCATCAAATTCTAGTATTGAAATTTCCTTACAAAATCTGAAAAATGAGGTATATTAATTTTTTGTGTATTTAATTTATTATCTCTAAAATGACTATAACAAAATTTGACTAAAAATGCTAATAAAATATTATTAAAACACTAGTAAAACCATCAGTCAAATATACTATAACAGCAAAGCTAAAATTAATTTTTGACTTTATTTCATTTGTAAGTTATATTTCTTAGAAAATTTTATAAGTTTAATAATAAATATTCTATGTATGCATTAAAGATGGCAAGTATCTCCATTTTATCTGTAGAAGTTATTTTAAACTAATCAGATTAATGAAATAATAACATAACTTATTTAATCTAGTAAATATTTCATAAAGCTTAGCTTTTTACTTGAATACAGATTTAACAGTGTGTTCTCAGAGTCAAAATATACTGTGTCTGTATGGATTAAAGTTTTTGAAACATTTACTATATTTGTAGAAAATATCTTAAAATATTACTTCTGTGAGACCCGAAAGGCCCTGGGTCTATTTTATGAATTTTTATTGATAATACTAAATTATAGACACAAAATATTATTTTGTTTTTGGTGAAAAAACTGGTGTTTTAGACGTGGAAAAACCAGATAACAGATGCTACTTCCTTTCTCAGAAGAGAACATCCTCTGTTTTTCTGTATCTGGTTAAAAATCTCGCTCAGATGGGAAATGGTTACCCCTCATTCATCCCCCTTTCGTCCGTTCTCACGAAAGAGTTACTGGCCGATGATTGGTCGAAATCCAGGAGATAAAAGGAAAATTAGTCAGAATTCGAGGGGTTCTTCGACAGATCCGAAGCATCAAAACTCCACGCAGTTTTCCTCCTGATGGCCAACGCCCTAAACGGAGTCCGATAGACTAAGTCCCGAAGTCTACACGTAGAAGTGATATTTTTATATTTTGTGCACGAATTGATCTCCCATACGAAAGTAATATGAACCCTATCTACAAGGTGTCCTATATCTACAGAAACGAAGACGACAACTAACAGGTTGTATGTTTAGAATAATTTTGTGAGCTCTCTCTCTCGATCGCGCATTAGCATAGAATAGGTCGTAGCCTCTAGCTTGTCGCTAAATGGTTGTAATCGAATTTTTTGTATTCGTTTGTTTGAGATTTATTAAGTTTACTCTTGTTTTATTTTATAAGAATGTCTCCTCAATTTATTCCGAATCAGATCGCAAACGCGTGTTAATCCGCATATAATAAGATCGATTAACTGGTATCAAGGAATCCTGACGAACGTCTGAACTTCTCGTTCAGATCATTTTAAAATACGCTTTCCTATGTAAACTTTTTACGATTGGATCTTACGATTCGAAACTCGGAGAACTATTCTCACAGAATAGGCCGATTAAGTGGTACTAACGAATTAGTGTACCCCCCCGGCTGATCTCACACTTCTAATCATAGCAAACTGAATTAATTTAGATTTGGTGAATTAATCAATGTATAAAAATATAACAGCATGTAAATAATCCTAAAATATTAGATAAAAGTAAGATTTTGTTTAGAATTTTAATTGTGGCTCCCTTAGAACAATGTTTATACAGGCACTCCTCTACTTATGAACATTCAACTTACAAACTCTCAGATACTGAACAATTTGACCGTATGTATAAAACTTTAATTTTTTTGTGGATTCTGAAGTTCTCTTACTGCTCATGGAGTGGCATCAAAGATAGTCTTTGGCCACTAATAAATAAGTAATGTGGGCTTATTTCTATTTCATATTGTCATTTATTTGTTTTGACATGATTTCCGAGGTTTCACTGCTGCTTGTGAGGTGGTGTTGAAGTTGATAACATTGGCATAATGGCATTTTTTGCTATCGTTTTTAATTTTTATAAACTTTTATTATTATTGCTTCAAAAATGCATTCAAAACATAATAGTAAATATAGCAATGGAGATAAATGCCAGAAGTGTAGCTCTCACCATGGAAATTAAACTGGACATTACAGAACTTGTATATCGACGGACCAGAAAATGTTGTATACAAAATTGATGTTGTGATGATGGTGGTATGAAATGTTCCCATTTACACGGTCAAAAAAACACAATACACTTCCTGTCTAACAATAACAACACAATTACACTTTAATGTCTCTAATAAGTGAGTGACTCTCTGGCACTCCGCAATTGAGCAACACTCCGGTACCCGACAATTAATTTGATAACTACAATACTGGTTCCTGACCAGCCACAAACCTACCCACTTTGGTTAGCTCCCTAGTCAGTGCTGCGGTCAGCACTCCTCACAGCACTACCTCCACACACCCTCTGACTCTACACACCCACAAATTTTCCCTCTCTAGGCAGGACAATCTCCCCCACATTCTTGGGGATACTGTTACCTCACCCACCTGACACGTGTGACCAAGCTGTGGACNACCTTTTTTTATATAAATAATATATAAATTATTGAAATTTTCTAACAGATTTTGAAAGTGGAAAAAATTCAGACTCCCAGGAAAGATATGATGGACAACGTAAAATTAATTTCAAATTTAATACCGAAGATGTAGATGAATTAATGACACGAGGATTTCTGTTTAAGGATGATGAAGATGAGAATCAAATTTCTAAAGAAAAAATATTGGAATTTCAGCATATCCTTTTATTATATATAAACTTTTTACAAAAACAAAAATTTAATAAATTGCAGAAATTACGAGAATCACAAGCAAATCTTCCAATTGCAAATCACAGAAAGGATATTTTAGATGCAGTTTCTAAGAATCAAGTAGTATTAATAGCAGGTGATACAGGCTGTGGCAAATCTACTCAAATTCCTCAATATTTATTATCTGCTGGTTATAAGAACATTTGTTGCACGCAGCCAAGGAGGATAGCTTGTATATCTCTTTGTAAAAGAGTTTCGTATGAAACTTTAGATGAATATGGTTCAGAAGTTGGATATCAAATCAGATTTGAAAAGGACAAAACACAATTTACAAGAATTCTATTTTTGACAGAAGGGTTATTACTTCGTCAAGTAGCAACTGATTCATTATTGTCTTCATATGATGTAATAATTTTAGATGAAGTTCACGAGCGACATTTATCATGTGATTTTCTTATTGGCATAGTTAAATGTCTTACTTATCAACGTCCTAAAGTAAAGATTATTTTTATGTCTGCTACTATAAATATTCAACTGTTTGCTAATTATTTCAAAAATTGCCCTGTTATACAAGTAAGTTTTTGTTTTTAAAAGTATCCAAAATATTTTTATATATAATATATTTGATATATACATATTAAAATTTGTTTAATTATATTTAGTATTGTAATAAATAGTTTAATAATTAAGAATCCATGTTAAAAA